GCAGAAGAATGAAACTGGACCATTTCCTTACACCACACACAAAAATAGACTCAAAATGGATGAAAGACCTCAATGTGAGACAGGAATCCATCAAAATCCTAGAGGAGAACACAGGCAGCAACCTCTTCGACCTCAGCCACAGCAACTTCTTCCTAGAAATATCGCCAAAGGCAAGGGAAGCAAGGGCAAAAATGAACTATTGGGACTCCATCAAGATAAAAAGCTTTTGCACAGTAAAAGAAACAGTCAACAAAACCCAAAGACAACCGACAGAATGGGAGAAGATATTTGCAAATGACATATCAGATAAAGGGCTAGTATCCAATATCTATAAAGAAATTATCAAACTCAACACCCAAAGAACAAATGATCCAGTCAAGAAATGGGCAGAAGACATGAACAGACATTTCTGCAGAGAAGACATCCAAATGGCCAACAGACATATGAAATACTGCTCAACATCACTTGACATCAGGGAAATACAAATCAAAACCACAATGAGATACCACCTCACACCAGTCAGAATGGCTAAAATTAACAAGTCAGGAAATGACAGATGTTGACAAGGATGCAGAGAAAGGGGAACCCTCCTACACTGTTGGTGGGAATGCAAGCTGGTGGAGCCACTCTGGAAAAGAGTACCTAGGTTCCTCGAAAAGTTGAAAATAGAGCTACCCTATGACCCAGCAATTGCACTACTGGGTATTTACCCCAAAGATACAAATGTAGGGATCCGAAGGGGCACGTGCACCCCAATGTTTATAGCAGCAATGTCCACAATAGCCAAACTATGGAAAGAGCCTAGATGTCCATCAACAGATGAATGGATAAAAAAGATGTGGTATATATATACAATGGAATACCATGCAACTATCAAAAAAATGAAATCTTGCCATTTGCAACGACATGGATGGAACTAGAGGGTATTATGCTAAGTGAAGTAAGTCCATCAAAGAAAGATGGTTATCATATGATCTCACTGATATGAGGAATTTGAGAAACAAGGCAGAGGATCATAGGGCAAGGGAGAGAAAAATGAAACAAAATGGAACCAGAGAGGGAGACAATCCATAAGAGATTCTTAATCTCAGGTCAGGAAACAAACTGAGGGTTGCTGGAGTAGACTGGGGTGGGAGGGATGGAGTGGCTGGGTGATAGACATTGGGAAGGGTATGCGCTATGGTGGTGCTGTGAATTGTGTAAGACTGATAAATCACAGACTTGTACCCCTGAAACAAATAATACATTATATGTAAATAAAAAATAAAAAATTAATTAATTAATTTTTAAAAAAAGAATGTGCTGATGGGCAAAGTGTATTTTTTAAGGCATGGTGAATATATATCGGTACAAATGATTAGCATGAGTAACAAAACTGCTCAAAGTATATGCTCAACTATGTTTTTCATAAAAGTAGCATCACATCATAACATTGACAGTTCCAAAATTCTATCCATACTCTCTAATTATAGCCACTAAAAAAATAGCTGTTGGGAGCTGTTTTTTTTTTTGTTGTTTTTTTTTAAGTATAATACTCATGACTCTAATCATCTGTTTCATGCTATCTTAGAATATAATGATAAAAAATATTCACTTATTTTTTCCTTTATTTTTTGTGAGGATAATGTAGCATTTTTTAATTTAATGTGACACTACGTGTCTGTATCACAATCTGCTATGTGGTGTTTGCCAAGTAATTTGTTAAAGTGTTAAAACTTGGCAATGATTTACAAAGAAGAGTAGATTCAGAGTTAGTCATTTTCATTTACTTCCATTCAGTTACATATTCATGGACTAACAAGAAAGAGTTGGAGTTATAAATAACTTGTGAACTATCTAACCCACAGTCCATCTTCCCTATAACCTCACCCATATCTAGGAAAATCTGTGAAGTCTGTATACACCGGACTAGTGTACCACTGAAGAAAAAAGGTCAGTGATCTAACAGGTGTCTTTTATAAATCCTCACAAATCATTCTTTATACATTCATATTTCATCCCTTATCAACTTGAAAATTTTAAAGATTGTATTCTCCCTGAGATATCATTTCCTTTGATCATCCTAGTTAATCCAGAATTTATATTCTTCTGTGGTTTTTAGATCATTGTCTTTTTTTTTAAAAAAAGATTTTATTTATTTGAGAGAGAGAGAGAGACTGAGAGAGAGTGAGAGTGGCGAGCAGGAGCAGAGGAGAGGGGCAGAGGCAGAGGGAGAAGCAGACTCTCCTGCTGAGCAGGGAGCCCGACATGGGGCTTGATCCCAGGACCCTGGGATCATGACCTGAGCCAAAGGCAGATGCTTAACCTACTGAGTCACCCAGGCGCCCCTAATCATTAAGTCTTGATATAATTCTTTCTTCCTCCATTCCAATCAACCTACCATGGTCGGGGGCGGGGGGAGTTCTTTCTTTATGCTTTATTCCTCAGTTCCTCTGTACTAATGGGCCAATTTTAAAGAGTATCTTTAACCCATTGGCCTTGAAACCAGAAAAGGAAAAAAAAGATACAATCAAACTGCATCACTGTAACTCTGAAAAACCAAAAAAAACCCAAAAAACAAAAAATAAACAAACAAACAAACACTAAGAGAGGATGAGGCTGAAACTAGAAATTACACCATCTGGGCAATTCTCAACATTGCCAAATTGTCTGACAGCAATTAGACAACATATTCTCCCTTCCATGCTCTCCCTGAACCTTATGGGATAGAAACCTAAGAACTACATTTCCCCAAATCCCTGCCAGCAAGGCTAGAGTTGTATTCCACAAATGAGAGATACTCACATGAATTTTGAAAAGCAAAAGAGAAGCAAAAGGCATTGTTGAGTCTATGGTGCGAGAAGGGGGCAGGATTATGGGCTTAGCAGGAGACAATAAGATTTTTTTAATTGAAATCTCGTTGACACATATTACATCAGTTTCAGATGTACAATACAGTGTTTGGACAAGTCTATATGTTATACTATGCTCACAAGTGTAGCTATCATCTGACACATACAAAGCGATTACAAAACCATTGACCATATTCCCTATACTATACTTTTTATGTCTTGACTTACTCATTCCATAACTGGAAGCCTGTACCTCCCATTCCCCTTCACTTATTTTGCCCATTTCCTACCACCCTCCACTCAAGCGGGCATCAGTTTGTTCTCTGTATTTATGGGTTAGCTCCCATAAATTTTTGTCTGTTTTGTTTTCTAGATTCCCTATACATGTAAAATCATATGGTATTTGTCTTTCTCTGTCTGACTTATTTCACTAGACATAATACCCATCCATGTTGTCACACATGGCAAAATCTCATTTTTTATGGCTAATATTCGTGTGTGTGTGTGTGTGTGTGTGTGTCCATTCATCTATCAACAGACATTAGGAGGCAATAAGATTTTAATGGATGCACCTGTACTCCGTCCTGTACATCGTCCACTCTCTGTTGTAGGCATGAAAAGTGGTTTCGTATGATTTCGCATGGTTTCGTATGATTCTATCCATACTCTCTAATTATAGCCAATAAAAAAATAGCTGTTGGGAGCTGTTTTTTTTTTTTTTTTTTTTTAAGTATAATACTCATGGCTTTAAGTATAATACTCACTTCCTGGTTTCTTCAATGCCAGTGGCAGCTTTTCCTCACCTTCACTTCTCCAATTCTTCCAGTGGTTTTGCAAGATTTTAATTTCCTGTATTAAATGACTTTTTGCTGGAAATACCTAGCATGACTTCTTTTCAGTTATCTGAATTATGACGAGTATAATGCACTGGCTTTTCTATGCTTCCCTTGTGCAAGGTTCTAGATAATTTTGAATGAACCCTAAATGGAGTATATGTATAGAGCCCTTCCCAATTATACAAGTGTTATACTTAATGGCCTTCAATAAAAACCCTAATCTGGAACAAATATGCATCTTTCCTTGACTCCTGTATGGCTAAACCCTTACTTTCCTACAAGTTGTATAACAAAACTAGGACAAGTGTATGGCTTACAATCTTACAGCTCTATCTTCAAATCTTGGCTTTAATATTTACTTGACTCATTGACTCAGTTTCCTTGATGGATATTTATTGATCACTAATTGGTGCCAGAAGCTGCAAATACCTGTGGTACCACAATGATTAAAAGAGTCTCTGTCCCCCGCCCTCATATGCTTAAAATCTAGCAGCAAAAATTATAGAAAGAGAATTTGCAAGGGATAAAACGTGTAAGTAGAGTCAGGTACTAAAGAGCCTTCCAACTCATAAAAAGATTTTGACTCTAGCATAAGGATGATGAGGAGACATTGAAGAGTTGTCACCAGAAGAGTGATTTGATAAAATTTGAGTTTTTGAAAAATAACTCTGGCAGGTGGGTAAAAGGTGAATTGGATAGGAAGATGACTGGATATAGAGAGACCAATTAGGAAGCTGTAACATTAAACCAGATGAGAGATAATACCGGGTCTAGGAAGATAATCACAACCTGAACCATGGTGGGGAGCATAAGGATGAAGAAAAATGAACTGATGCAAGCAACATCTAGGAATCAGAACAAAATGTAGGAATTGATTGGACATGTGTGATAAGGAGACCCAAGTGTCAAGGGTGACTCCAAAGTGTAAGGCTTTAGGGAACTAGATTAATAGCAGCATCATGACTAGAAAAGAAATACAGGAAAACAAAGTAGAGGTGAAGTGGGGTGTGGATCAAAATGGCAGGTTCTGTTTTAGACATGTTCGATTTAATCCGCTGATGAGACACCCATGTAGACATGTCAAGTCAGCTGATGAAGATACAGGTTTGAAGTTAGAAAAAAGGTCTGGTCTTAAAGATTCAAACACTGCAAAAATATGAATTATAATTGCAGCCATAGGAGTGAATACATTGACTCATGTTCATGTACAGAAAGGAAAGAGAGCTAAACTGTCTAGGAGTCACCATTATTTTCCTTTTTTTGGTTGTGTCAAAGGCCTACTATTTCATCTTGGACAGAAACTCTGATATAAAATATCACACAATTTCTCTAATTTCCCAAAGTCTTTTTATTTCAACAGATAAAATCACTACATAAGATATTTTGTTAATGGGTTAACAGAATTAATTAGATCACATATATTAATGGATCATTAATTGGATTCCAATAATTTACTACTACAACTGGTGATACAGTAACATACACATTTCCTACAGGGTAAGAATTCTCCAAGAGGGAAAGACAACACTTTTAACCACAATTATCTATTAACATCTTAAACAAAGTAACTGCTATTTAAAGGACAAAAAGCTTCTTCTTGGATAGTTATGTCAAGTCCAACAGAAAAATCAACTCATCCATTACATGATATGTTACATATATATATTACTTTTTGTTTACTTCTTACTCTTTCACTGTTTTCATTCTTTTTCAGTATTCCACTGAAGCCCACGTCAAGTCCACATCAAGAGCTTTACTTCTTCATTGGAAGTAATTCAACAAGAGCCATAGTATGAATTTTAAATATATCCATAAAATGAAACTCTCCTGTTCATAACGTTAATGTTTGTAACTAAATGTAATATTCATATTGAAGCTTTTTAAAATTTAAGAAATCTATTCACAAATTCAGTCATACTGACAAAATGTGATTACAATAAATCTTCTTTAACAGCACCCAAAGAAGTACAAATATTTTAACATCTCAGTGAGTTTTCATAAACATACTAGGGTTTTAAGCATCTCTGATTGGGTACTATTAAAATAAAAATTGTGTTCCCAAAATCATTCAATGAAAAATATTATAGCATCTACACTCCACTATTTATAGGTAAAATTTTATTATGTATATATTTATAAGTTATCCAAAATACATAGCTAAGTATTTTGAGAGGAGGATAATTTATGTTTAAATTGGTCCAAGTAGAATGTTTGCAAAGTGTAATGAATGCAATGTTTTTAATATCTCTTACCAGGTGGTTCCATTTTGATGAAATTATATTGTTTTATTAATTCTGAATGGGTCCATGGAAGATGAATTTCAAAAAATAACACTGCAGTGTTCTGTAAACACATTAGAGCTACGTATCTATGCAAAAACTGTTTACAAATAACCACAAAATGTTGCAAAATGCCACAAAAATTATTTCCTAATCGGAATTAATTTTTAGTGAAGACAAACTCAGCTCTAACATAGGAATAATACATGTTCCAAAGGATACAACAATTAGAAGTGATTAAAAGTTTTGAGCTGTATGCTTATTTGTTAGGTAAATAGTATCTATATAAAGCAGTCACAACTTGAAATGAGAAGCTACATGACTGTTTACATTTCTATAATTCTGAGAATTTCAGCCTTCTATTCTGAGTTGAAGAAAGTTTTCACTAAATGTGCATTTGGTTTTAAGAACAATTGGCTAACTGGATAAAGATTTCCCCCATCACTGGCCAAAATACTAATTATATAGCAAATTTCAGCTGACTTCCTGTAAGTCGTTCAAATAGTTGGTAATGCTCCCTGAAGGACTGGTCCATAGGAAGAATAGTTTTTAAAAAATACAATAAAGAAGAGCCTGTGGCTCCCTAGGGAAATTGATTTTGGGTAGTCTTTTCCTCAGATGAGGGGGCAGTGAGCAGCACATCACCCCCTGTCGACGCCCTAATATGATTTGAAAGGCAACTCATTTAGCCATCATTTTTTAGCAATGCTGATAATGCCAATTCCTTGTTCGGGTTTCCTTCATTCTGGGAAGTAGTCAAAAGCATCCCTCTCTGCTTTTACTCAGACTTTGACCGACCATCCGAGCAACCATAGGCAAACTGCGTGTTGTATCTTTGAATAGGAGTCTTATCACCAACGCTTTGCCACCCAGGTTTCCACAGATTCCTGCAGATGCTTCCATTCAGATCCTCCTTTTCTTCCTTAAAGTGGGAAATCAGGATGCACCTGGGAGCTCTCCTCAACCAGATTTATAGCTCTGGTCAGAATTCAGCTACCAATTTTCATACCAGAGCTTCCTTAGACGTTGGTAGCCTCCGTGAAAGAGTCACGGGGGCCATTGTTCTTTTTGACTTCCAGGTTCTTTTTAGTCTTGAATGTCACAGACACCTCAGAGTGGATGGCATCCAACCTCTGCTCACAGCGGAAGGCTGCGAGGAAAGCCTTCCTATAGTTGCTGTTCATCCAGCCATAGAGGAGGGGGTTGGCAAAGGTGGAACACATGGCGATAATGTGGAGCACAGTGAAGATGAGTTTGTACTCCTTCAGGTCGAGGACTTGGTTGTCAATGTCCACAGCAAGCTGGAAGGCGTGGAGAGGCAACCAGCTGACCGCAAACACCACGACCACACACACCAGCATTTTGGTGGTCTTCTGCCTTCGCTGATGGTAGTGATCATTGGCAGCTCCAGGGCTCACATGGTTCTTAAGTTTACTCCAGATACGGGTGTAGGAAAAGGATATGATGCAAAGAGGCAACACATACAGGATTAGCAAGGAAGAAAGGCTGTAGACAGTGCCATAGATGTTCTTCTCCTCGCCAGGCCACTTCTCTGTACAGACCACAATCTCAAAGTCAGGAATAATCTCAATCAGCGAATACTCGCGGAAGATGGCCAGGGGGCTGGCTAGCAGGGCGCTGATGCCCCAGGCCATGCCAATAATCAGGAAGCTGATTCTCTTGGAGATCTTGCTCTCCAGGTGGTAGACGATGCAACGGTGCCGGTCCAGGGCAATGACTGTCAAGGTGATGGTGGACACTTGTACTGCCAGGCCCTGGGCATAGGGAACCAGGTGGCATAGGACAAGACCCATTTTCCACTCCCCCATCAAGGTGTACGTAAGAGTGAATGGCAAGCACAGGGTGTTCACCAGAAGATCTGCCACAGCCAGATTGGCAATGAAAAAGTTGGTTACTGTGCGCATGCTCTTGAATTTGATCACCACATGAATCACCAAAGAGTTTCCAATTACCCCAAGCAAGATGATGGAGCAATAAGCTAATATGAGGATAATCTGTACCTCAATCAGCATGGTGCTGTCTATAAGCTCTGGCTCAGGGTCGGGGGCCAGCTCACCTCTAGGAGTGGTTTGCTGTGGATGATACTTCTCCACCTTCATTTCTTCCACTGTCTGGTTCTCATCAGCCTCTGCACCTACTGGGCCCATTTTCAGCAACTAGAACAAGAATCTACAACTAGAAAAATGAAGAAGAAGAAGAAGAAATATGGAACAAGGAAAACATAAGGGCGACACGAAGGAGTATCACAAATGGATTGGTTTCATTTTGATTAGGGCTCAAAATACCTGTCCCCTGATCCCTAAAATTGCACATAGTGCAACATTTTAATAAAGCAGGCCCATTAATAAGTCTATTTGCAAATATGGATGAATTAAACCAGGTCCCTGAAATATATATTACAATGGTAAAATGTAATACCTATAGTATAGATATAATTTCAGTGTGAATGCTACCAAATTGAGTCAATCTATTTCAAGTGGGATGAATGTTAGAAACTTTACCAATTAATTTTATAACTTCTATGAACTCATCAAATTAATTTTTTTTCAAAGATTTTATTTATTTACTTGAGACAGAGAGAATGAGAGACAGAGAGCATGAGAGGGAGGAGGGTCAGAGGGAGAAGCAGACTCCCTGCCGAGCTGGGAGCCCGATGCGGGACTTGATCCCGGGACTCCAGGATCATGACCTGAGCCGAAGGCAGTCGCTTAACCGACTGAGCCACCCAGGCGCCCCTCATCAAATTAATTTTAAGGTACACAAAGAAAATGGCCTTCAATATCTTGACTGCTTTAAATTTATAAATATAGCAGCAAATTGCATAGAAAAGAGAAAAATATTAAAACCCTTTGCATGGTGCCTGGACTTTGGGAGTATAACATATTTAAGATAAACTGAGCAGATTCCATTCCATAGCCATTTCTTCTAGTGTTTGGGTTAGTGTTAAAAATAGGTAGCCTGTGTAAAACAGTTGCATTTTTTGATGATCTGAAATCAACTTCCTACTGACATACAGCAGAATCCCACACAGGATCTATATGAAAAGCATGTCCAAATCTGAAGTATCTCTCTCTCTAACCTCTAAATATCAAAGTTTTGATACTTTTCTTCCCCAAATACAGCCCCCCAAGACTTTTCCTTCTGCATGCCCTACTCCAGTCAATGCTATCCCCATGGATTACACCAGGTAAAGATAAAAAGCAGGTAACCATTCTAGGCTCTGTCAACACCTTTAGCCCCCACATCTAAGAGAACCCTCAGACTGATCTGATATACCTCTCTCAATGGTCCTCATCATTTCTGCCACATTGACTTTGTCCTTCTTGATTTCTTACCACAATTACTCTAATAGTCTTCTGACTTATGTCACCTCCTCTTCTCCTGCTTTCATTCATTCATTCATTCATTCATTCACTTGACAATAATAATTGAGTATCTGCAAAATGCCAGGCCTGGCTCCACCCTTGTGATCCTTGCATTTACTCTAACATGCATTCAGCAAGCATTTAAAAATCTATGTCAAGAACCTAGGATTTGTGCTGGGGGAATGACAACAGGATAAGGTTTCCACTCACAGGCTCTTACCTTTGATGAGAAAGAGCATACTCTGACATTAAAATTGTCTTTCTGAAACTCAGATGTGATCATATCATTTCCCCCATGTCTCCAGACTGCTTAAAACAATATAATATATTGGTTTCTAATGTGAAATTCTCTTTGCAAGCTTGTAAAAACATCCAGAGCCCAACATCATAGTAAGTTTTGAATGTAGTCATAATGACAAAAGGCTGCCACCATTAATTCAGAACCTCTTTTAAATAAATTTGGTTTTTATTAATCATAATGGCATCTACCTACATTGGTAGATGAGTCATATTTATTCAGCCCACAGACAATGTCTGGGTGGGCCCCCAGCTCCATTCCTTACCCTTCCTCTGGAGGGCTAACTCTTGCAAACTGTATTTTCAGGCTCCCAAGTCTTCGGGACGCTGGCTGAGTTTGATCATAGGAAGCACTGGAAGGTAATTAGAGGACAGAGGGAGGGAGAAGCCTCTGTCTTCTTTTCCCTCCCTCTCTCCTCTGGGAAGTGCCTCCGTAGCCCCTCTGTGGCTCTGGTTCCCACAGGACTAGTCCATAGTGATTTTATTTCCAGTGGATGGCCCTAGTCCCTGGGCTTTGGTCACACCAAATACTCCCAGTATCCCTCTGGCTGGGGGTAGTAATGACTCTTTGCTCTTGCTAATCCTTGAGTGGCCTCAACATCCTCTGTTCGGCTTCCATCACTTGTGTAATCAATTCTCTGCATTTAATTTTCCCTCCCTTACATTCTGGAACAGGTTCTGTTTTGCATGATCTGCTGATACCATGCATATATGTTGTCATTAATTTGCTCTCCCACTAATGGTTCTGCACATAGAAGTTGATAACACTGGCCTACAGAAGATAATCCCAACTCCATTATATGACATTCAAAGCTTTTCTTGAACGCATTCCTGCCTATCCTCTGGCTTCATCTCTCCTGACATATCAACGCATATGTTATGCCTTAGTCATACTAAACTGTTTCCAATTCCAGCAATGCATCAGCTTTTCTCATGCCTCTCTGCTTTCCCCGTTCTCAACTGGGAAGCCTCTCAGTTACCCCAACAATCTGTGTTCACTTCTAATACTGCAAGAAGCATAAGCCACAGTGCAATTATTTCCCCACCACAGCCATCTCTTTCAGGACAGAAACTGGATCTTTTCCATCTATTGTTTAATCCTTAGCACAGTATCTAACACATTAACGGTACTCAATCATTTGGCAAAACAAATGCGAAGCTAAAGGAAAACATAATTTTACTGAATACTTGAAGTCAGCAAAATACAAAGTAACAATTCCTTTCCTTTCCTTAAGATAATTGCCTGTACGGAATTCCTTGCTCTGATATGACATCCTCATGCTTATTTTCTGGTTCTTAGTCAGGTAACCACCCTTGCAAGAAAGTTGTTCCAAGGTCCCTCCTAATTCAATCCCTGATTAGAGCATTAAAAACTTCCAGTCAGTATACACCATAAGGAAACTTCCTATCTCAGGGGCCTATCAAACACACACACACACACACACACACACACACCCCCTTACAGGAGCCTTATTGCAGAGAGAGAGAGAGAGAGATTTCCCCATATATTCATATATTGGCTTTACTGATATATTCTAGTTCTGTCTGCATAAATTTCAAATAACATGTTCCAAGGAGCCTAGACCCTCTTTTGTATTTGCCTCTATTTTCTAGAAATTAGAGGGAAAAAAAAGTGAAACTAATTATCTAAATCTTGGAGTGTATATTTGGTAGGCTCTATCATTCCCCCTAACCTCAGCACAATTAGTCAATCCTAACAACTCATTAACAGGATTAACAAGACTCCATGAGGTCTGAGTTTGAGGTTTGCCACAAGCTAAATTGAGAGTAAGCCTGAGAGAGAAGGATATTAGTTTATTTATTAACTTATTTTGTTCTTTTCTTTTCAGTTCCATTTTCTTTATTTCAGAGCCCTTTTATTTAAAGCTTCGCTGCAGGAATGGTTATTGATCTACAGGCAGTTTGCATTTGGACACTAATCACAGTTCTCAAGCACACTGCTGGCTTTCAGCCAGGTCAGAGCACTCCCTAGAGAATGTATCATTTTATGATTGGACTTCTGGAAAAGTGGAAGAGGAAAAGAGAGTACATAAAGGGAGCTGACTGATTCAAAACTCAAAAGCACAACAATTAAAAGATAAGTAGATGAGGGAAAAACCTTTCTTTGAAACAAAGCAATAGAAAGCATTCACATGGGTCAAATCATTTTAGAACTGTGAATGGTAGAGTTTTCTTGAATAAGTGAATCTTCAGAGTTTCCGTTATAGAAATATTTCTCTTTTTTTTAAAGATTTTATTTATTTATTTGAGAGAGAGAATGAGATAGAGAGCATGAGAGGGGGGAGGGTCAAAGAGAGAAGCAGACTCCCTGCTGATCAGGGAGTGGGACTCGATCCGGGACTCCAGGATCATGACCTGAGCCGAAGGCAGGCGCTTAACCAACTGAGCCCCCCAGGCGCCCTAGAAATATTTCTTTGTAGAATAGGAAAATGGCTTCAGGCTTCTTTTTTCAGAGATAAAGAACTTCAAATTACCTGAGTGGGAAACCAGTTTCTGCTTTAGCTGTATATTTAAATTTGCGGGGCCTTTTGCAACAGAACTCTTATTACCACAGGTTGGTCTTAATAAAACTTAACATCTTGTCAATCACAAAACCTTCCAGGAGTGTTTGCCAGGGAAAAATCCCAGAAATCATGCCACACACCCCATACTTATTCCTAGGGAAAAGGCAGTGGACTCCAAGAATGCTACATCCAAGACATGACTGTTGGCTTCATAAGCAGAAAGTTGAAACTATTCACCTAAGGGTCTGGTAATGGATCATTTACCCTGTGTTTGAACTTCTGGCCTTTCCTTGCCAACAGCATTGTCTATTTCATGTCACTGAGTTTAAATGATGTGACCTTATTGCAAAATGTCTTAAAGCTTTTACTTTTGCCTCCTCCTCGTGCACCATATGCTCCTACCCAGTGGGTGAGCCCTTCTGGTGCAAAACTAATGAGTGCTTAAATAAACGTATTTATTCTTGAACAGCTTTGGAGAATCCAATATAACCTTCTGCTTTAGACAGGTGTTTGATTTTTTTTTTTTTTTAAGAGACAGAAACAGTAACAACTCGCTGCTCTGGAAAGATGATGACCTCTCTCTAAGAAGGTCAAGGAAAAAGTAAGAACCTTCAGCAGAAAAGGAAAATTCTAGCTAAAGTAGAAAATAGTGATGGTATCAACCCAACCCCCACCCTCAACCTAAGTGAGAGGCGGGAAAAAAAAAAGTCCTCACACTCATGAGGACCTCCCCTATACCCTCTTCATAGGACCAGAGCTCTTCTTTTGGGGATATTCTCGTGGCCAGAATGTGAATCAGAGTTAGGACTTACACTTACTTACCCGGCCCTGGCGTTTCTGCTGAGACGTGGAAGCAAGACGTGTGCAGCCCGTCCGTGCGATGACTATCTAGCCCTCGGATCCGAAGAGGGCACTGGAAGGTCCCAAAGGCAAGCCCAGCGGCGTCCGTTCCGACCGGGCAGGACAGCCAGCGCCGCGCGGAAGAGCGCGCGAGCCACTGGGAGCCGGCGCTGCTCTGCTCTCCCGCCGACCTCTGCGGCCAAGCGCGCTCCGGCACCGCACTGCGCCGCGCACAGCAGCCGGGTGAGCCGGAGAGCGTGCGAGGCCGGGGGGGGGCGGGGGCACGGAGGTGGAGGCTGCACAGGTGCAGAAGGTGGGGGGCGACGGTCCCGCCGCGCCAAGGGCTGGACGGAAGTTTCCGTGGCGAGGGAGGGGGACAGCGTCCACGGTGTCGCCTCTGCCTCCGGGTTTGGAAGCCCGCGCGGCGGGACCCTACTCAGCTCGGCGCCCCCTCGCGGATCCCCACTACCACCTGCAACTGCTACGTTCACCCCAATTCCCGGGTGACCCCCACGTGTGATACTCTGGGCGTTTGCACCACCGCAGCCTCCTTTCCCTTCCACAAACCCCTACCTTCGCTCTCCGCTTCTCAGTTCCTCGAGAGAGAGGACCCCGCGAGAAGCTCCTGGAGTCGGGGTTCACCAAATTGGCCAGGGAAAGTCGAAGGCGAAAGCGACCGCGGGGCGGGTGGACCCAGCCTCGGACGAGGGTGCTGCGGTCCCTGGCGCAGCGAGCAAGAGGAGACCTCGAGGTGGCAGGGGGCCGATGTGGAGGCAGAAGCTCTCGCCTTGGAAGGGCTGAGAAAATCCCACAACGTCCAACCAGAAGTTGTTTCTTCTTCTTTTGTTTGTTTGTTTGCTCGTAGGAGCAGAGGTGGGGAGCTGGACCCGCGCAGAACCACAGAAAAGCGCCGCACAATTGCGCCAAGGACAAACCCTGGGCACGCTCGCCGGGGGGTTGGAGCGCAGGGCGCTGGTGCTCCTCTAACTGGGCGGTCGCGGCGCTCCAACGAGAAGGTAAAGCGAGTTCAGATGCTTTTGCCCACCATTGGCAATTCCTTTAACAGGTGTCAGTTTACGAGTTGGGTGTTGCGGGTTCAGATTCAAAAGCCCGCAGGCGGCGTGTGTGTTGTGCGCTCTGGCTCGGGGCAAAAGCTCTATAGGAAGAGAACACAATGGGTGACAAACGAAACAGTCTCTTTCTCCAGTTAGTTGATTTCCCGATCCTTCGCTCTTTGATCATGACCCAAGCCACTCGTGCCTCTATGAGCGCGTGCCTCTGGGATACTCTTTTTTTGTGGAGAAGCCCTCTGCTAATGCCTTGAGCCCATCGAGCTGAGTTAGTGGATCTGAGCAAAACAGGACTGTGGCGTCAGTCCACAGTGCTGCAAGGTCTGTTTCCTCGGGATTCCTCCCAGAAACTCTATTTAGAGCCATTCCTTATAGAAGTCTGCGACCAGTCTCTCTTTCCCTTGTTCATTTTTAGAGGGGCCAGCAGAGCCTGCCAAGTTAGGGAAACAAATGCCTGAAATTGGAAACTAAAGTCTTTCTTAACTATCCTGTGTTGAGGTTTTGCACACATTACTTTCCCTCTATGCACCAGTCTCTTCATTTCTGAAGTGAGGATGCCCATACTGGTTTGTTTGGAATTTCTCTGAAATAGGAAAAAAAAAAAGTTAAACAACTCAAAATAATATTTTTCAAAAATATTAGTTATGGCATCCCCTGAAGATGATTAGATTTTCAGTCTTATCTGGGCTTGCCCACACACTAATAATACTGCATATGTAAACATCTATACACAGTGTAATCTGAAATTGATCATCTGGTAATGTAGAATTATGCCTACAGGAGCATATTTATTTATAAAACATTATTTATAAAACAAAGCAGTTTGGGCTTTTCAATTACCAAGAAACAAAAGTAAACAGAACTGGAAATATCCAAGATGTTCTACACAATTCTACTTAAAATATTTTGGTAGATATTACTTACCTTGGGGAAATATTCCTTGCTCACACATGTGTTTTATACAACAAGTTCAATGCTTCCTAATATATTTACCCCTGTGAAGAGTGAACTCTGTACCAGGCAGTTGCAATTTTAGAAGGCTAGGAATGGCTTGAAATAACAACCACAAAAACATATAAGAAAGCAGATGAGCAATCAGATTAATTCCTTCGGAGGGCTCAAGTGACTTGACTGACATTGATTCTATGAGCATTTTTGCCTCCGTTATAACTGGCTTTCAAAAGCAGCCTAGCACTCTTATACAAATATTTATCTTATTCCCATACAGACATGTGTGCGTCTTAGAAACCACACATAGTTCCACAGACATCTCCTCAGGAGCTCCGAGAAGATTAAATGATCTCTGTCTCTTCCAATAAAGTACAGAACTGAATGAAAAACCGATCAATTGATGTTAAAGTTGCTTTATCGCATGTCGTATTATCAAGAATAGTTTTGGCAATGGGGCGCCTGGGTGGCTCGGTCGGTTAAACATCTGACTCTTGATTTCACCTCAGGTCGTGATCTCAGGATCCTGGGATCCAGTGCCAGGTCCAGCTCCCTGCTCTGCAGGGAGTCCTGCTTCTGCCTCTCCCTCTGCCCCTCCCTCTGCTCGTGTTCTCTCTTGCTCTTGCTCTGTCTCTCTCAAATAAATAAATAAAATCTTTTTTAAAAAAATAATAGTTTTGGCAGTTAACTCATGATATTTTTGTGCATTAAGATTTAACTGATACCCTTTGATGTGCCTATGCTATGTACTATGGTAACAACGAACCACTCTGATGAATGCCAAGAAACCCTATGAAGATGCCGATAGAAGTTTGTGGAAGGAGTGGTGAAATATGGAGTAATCCAAATTGAGACAGGACAAGATTATTGCTGCCTGATTCCTCTGGTGTCAAATCATTTAGTTCCTCAGGCAATTCCACAGCTAAGAAGAATATATGCCGACTGTTCCTCAAATAAGGAGCAGACTCAAACTCAGATGCCTACCTGGCTGGGGCCAATGACCTAAATGCATATACTAAGCTAAGCTGTGGGAGACAGTAGGGAGTGGTGGGTGTTACAACATCCCTGAACGCACAAAAGTACATGCCTGTTCTGAAGGAGGAGGCTGCTGATTCCACTGAGCTGCCTTGCAAAAATCTAAATCAGTATTGTCAGATCTGACATTTTAAGAGAACAAAAATCCATATTCTGAAACATCTTCCAAATTTTCAGCGAAGGAAATTAATTCTTGAAAAGTCAAGCCCCCAGGTGGGTCAGATCTGCGCAGGCCAAAATAAATAGAGATGGATAGATAACCCGCTGTCTGGCCTGTAGGTCTCCAATAGTGTAACCTCTGATATTAGTACGTGATGTTTGATGAGCCTCCTCAAATACATAAAACATGACTTGACCACCATTTCCCTTCCCCCACAAACCGCTCCTCAGTGAACATTAAATGTAAAAGGAATACAACCAAAGATTAATTGCCAAATAAATAACTTTCTTTTCCACTTTGGGTTGAATAGGTGTTCTCAGTGAGACTCTGAAGTAAAGGACCTGGCGAATAACTGAACAATCAGGATTTTATATAGTTACGATGAAGAAATTTCAGACAAACTCTTTGTTTAAAAAGAAAAAGTTAGATAACATTGGTATAAAAGACCATTTATGATACATTTTTTTGATAAAGTGCACCATGACATGGATTTTAAATTTATTTTGAAAGCAAAGAAGCTTCCCCCAAGTTGTAAATAATTTCATTGTTTAAAGTAACTTATAGCCATTATAAAAATCAACAGATGAATGGATAAAGAAGATGTGGTATATATATATATATATATATATATATATATATATATATATATACACACACAATAGAATATTATACAGCCATCAGAAAAAAGAAACCTTGCCATTTGCAACGACGTGGATGGAACTAGAGGGTATTATGCTAAGTGAAATAAGTCATTCAGAGAAAGACAAGTATGTGATCTCACTGATATGAGGAATTTGAGAAACAAGAGAGAGGATCATAGGGGAAGAGAGGGAAAAATGAAACAAGATGAAACCATAGAGGGAGACAAACCATAAGAGACTCTTTTTTTATTGTTTGTTTAAAGATTTTTTATTTATTTATTTGTCAGAGAGAGAGAACAAGCAGGGGGAGCGGCAGGCAGAGGGAGAAGCAGGCAGAGGGAGAAGCAGGCTCCCCGCTGAACAAGGAGCCCGATGCGGGACTTGATCCCAGGAGCCTGGGATCATGACCTGAGCCAAAGGCAGCCGCTTAACCACTGAGCCACGCAGGCGTCCCCATAAGAGACTCTTAATCTCAGGAAGCAAACTGAGGGTTGCTGGAGTGGAGAGGGGTGGGAGGAATGGGGTAGCTGGGTGATAGACATTGGGGAGGGTTTGTGCTATGGTGAGCGCTGTGAATTGTGTAAGACTCATGAATCACAGACCTGTACCCTTGAAACAAATAATACATTATATGTTAATAAAAAAAAAGAAAGCAGACAAAAAAGCATAGAAAGAAATACACATGATCTAAAACATCGCTGTCCAATAGAACTTTCCGCAATGATGGTAATGTTCTATACCTGCATTGTCCAATAAACTAGCCACCTATCCACACATGGCTTTTGGGCACTTGAAATATGGCTAGTGAACGGAGACTGAATTTTAAATTTAAAAACTTTTTAAAAGCACCAAAACCAAAAAGTATGTTTTGATTCCTAATGGAAAGTCCTCCTGGGTTCATTCTTGTCAGGAAGCTAGTTTTTTTTCTCACCTTAATATCAAAGTTTCCTAAAAGAGTTTTCTTTTAAGATTTTTATTTATTTATTTAAGAGAGAGAGTGTGTGAGAAGGTGGGGTGAGGGCAGAAGGAGAGGGAGAGAGAGAATTTTCAGCAGACTCCCCACTGAGCGAGGAGAGCAAGCCCAACGTGGGGCTTGATCCCATGATCCTGAGATCATGACCCGAGCTGAAACCAAGAGTCGGACCCTCAGCCAACTGAGCCACCCAGGCGCCCCCCGAAAGACTATTAAATAACTCTCAAGTCATACCAAACTGAATTAAATCCTGGACAAAACAAAACAGTGTAGTGCAGCAGGAATGTGGAAGCTGATTCCAGAAGGAGAAAGAAGCCCCATAAATCATACAGCAGCCTAGGAAGGGAGGAAGATTATAGCACCAGAAGAGAGAACAGCAAGCCTAAGCAAGGAATTCTCTAAATTCCAGTAATGTAAGAAAAGCTCAATGATGTTAATAAAATAATGTACTTAACTCAGACTAAACAAACAAAACCTAATAACAAGTCCCTAGTTAGGAACTATTAATAATCAAATTAGCTTAACAATTATAGTGTTTAAGATATTTGAAACTGATTCCAGCTTGCTTTATTTAAGTGTTCAATAAATTCAGTTATTTATTTATCCTTAGGTTTATTAAGTCCTTTTACAGGAATTCTTTTTAAAGTTTCAATAATACTCCCTTGTCGTAAAACTTATGGAACCTAGATATCCTAATGGCCATTTGGTTATAATATGGATTCTCAATTGGTTGTAAATCGATTTCTGATTGGATATGTGTCTACCTTTCCTTTCAGGCAGGAAAAGACACAGTGGGAGTTAATATCTGAACAGATAGGGTGGAAGTTGCGTCCAAGTAGACATAGAAAAAAGAGACCAGTTTATATGAGTGGAGCTAGAGGAGCTTTAACTTTTTATTTTTTTATTTTTTATTTTTTTTATTTTTATTTTTTAAAGATTTTATTTATTTATTTGACAGATAGAGAGCACAAGTAGGCAGAGAGGCAGGCAGAGGGAGAAGGAGAAGCAGGCTCCCCACTGAGCAGGGAGCCCGACACGGGGCTCGATCCCAGGACTCCAGGATCATGACCTGAGCCGAAGGCAGCCGCTTAACCGACTGAGCCACCCAGGCACCTGCTTTAACTTTTTAAACAAGTCTTTAAGATCAACTCAGTTTTAAAAAACTGGACAGTCTAGTCACACTTGTGATGAAAAGGTAATACTTCCTTCGACATCCTTACAAAGTTGGCTCATTTGTAACAGGTGGGCCAGTAAATATGTGGATGGGCAAAAAATGGTCAGCAAATAGTCCATTTCATGAAGCTGATAGGCTAGGTTTTCTTTAAAATTTTGTATGTTATGAAGACAGGTGTCTCATTCAAGAAAAGTTAACTAGTCATTCCAAGTGAAATGTATGCTAAATCCTAAATTGAGCATAAATATCATTTGCTATGATTTTTATCTCTATGGATTTGGAGTTTTTATTTTTGTTTTGAATTTTTAATTGCAGATTCAAAGTGATTAAGCAGGATTGTAAGCACTATATGCAACATTTTGCTGAAATTTTTATCTCTCAGTGATCATCCAAATGGATATTGAGACTGGTAAGGAACCAAATCTAAAAGGATATTTAAATGCAAATGATTCACAGTTCAAATTTTAACATTGAACAAAGGAAGGGACATTTTTATGTGGAATTCAGAATTTAATCAATGCAAATTTTCATTTGATTATCTGAAACATGCACAGAAGGCCCATGGCTAAAGAGGAAACATGCACCCTTTTAGAAATTTCAATTTTATTTAATAAGTGTTTATCCTTGTAGCATATAGAGACATAATTTGATATATAGTGTTGAATCATACTCAAAACAAATTTAATTTTTAATTTTTCTCGAAAAAATGCAAGCAAAATCAAACTCTCTCTCATATGAAATTACTATTGGTATCTCTTGAGAGATGAGAAGTCAAAGATTTATATATAATTTTTACATATCATACGATCACCCTACTCTGTTTTTTCATTGTTGTCTGACAAACCACCCTAAAACCAAGTGGCATAAAATAGTTATTTCATGCTGCTCATTATGGGTCAGAAATTCGGGAAACAGTTAGGTGATTCATCTCTGATCCACTGGCCACAAATGGAGAGGTGAGGCTGTAGGATGCTCTTCTAAGATGGTACCTTCCCTCACATGTCTGGATCTGGGCTGGCTTCCAGTAGCTGGAGCTTGTGTATTTATCTCTCTTCAAGTATGGCAAACTCGGAGCAGCCAGACTTACTACTGGCTGGCTTTCCCTAGAGAGAACTTTCAAAAGAGAGTATTCTAAGAGACCCAGGCAGAAATTGCAAGGCTTCTCATGATCAGATCTCCCAAGTCCCAGAACATCTCTTCAGCTACATTCTTTTGGTGAAGCAAGTCTCTCAGGCCAGCTTATAAAATGGGAGAAGAGGAATATACTTCACCTCTGCAGGAGAGAAGGGCATGTGTGTACAGGGAAGAAAGAAACTGATAGTGATCTGAGAGAAATGTCATCCCTTTGCCTTATATATTTTGGATGTATCTGTGTGTGTGTGTGTGTGTGTGTGATACATCCATTAAAAAGGGGATCTTCTGGGAAAAGAACAGTAGCCTCAGAAATTCTACAGTGAATTTTTCTGCTTTGGCTTGCAGTTCACAAAATTATCAGGGCCAGAGACTGCAAACTCTAAGATCTTCGCTGCCCATGGTAGCCCTGTGGCAAGAATACACAATGAAAATAGAAGGGGTGTTTCCAATATCTGCACTTCGATGAACATAGTGATTGTGATAGGTGCAAATAAATAACTTGAGATAGATTTCCCCCATAATGATTTACTTAAGGTGAATAGTACTTAAACTTGTTCTC